TCTTTTGGTTTTAACACCATAAATAATAGGATTCATCATGGGTGGAATTAGAAGGTATATATTTGCTATAATAATGTGGACATGGGGAGCAATGTGGTGGCCAAATCTGTGAGTAAGAAAAGAGAAAAAGGCTGGTGTATAAAACATCAAGATGACCCATACATGGGAGACACAAGTACTTAAGGTCTTAAGACGAGCAGTTTTGGATGGGAGATTAAAGACTGTGAGAAGAATAAGGGCATAAGAACAAATAATCAATATGAAATCCAGTCCCCCAGTCAGGAAGGCCACAATTAAACTGTAGGTTCTACGAATCTTAGTTTCAGTACAAACCAGCTTTACCAAGGCCATAAACTCACAGTAAGTGTGGGAGATGACATTAGTCCTGCAGTAGGAGAGCCACCTCAGTAAGAAGGGGTGTGGACTGAGGAGTATAGTTCCTCTGAAGACAACAACCAAGCCCAGACCTGCAATCACTGAAGGTGTTAGGATAGTGGAATGTCTTAGTGGATGGCAAATGGCTATGTAGCGGTCAAAAGCCATAGCTAAGATAAAGCCAGATTCCATAGTAGACAGAGAATGAACAAGATACATTTGAGTAAGACAAGCTTCAAAGTAGATCTCTCTGTTGTTGAACCAGAAAAGACTGAGTATCTTGGGTAGTGTAGAAGAAGTTAGCATCAAGTCAGCCACAGAGAGCATGCACAGAAAGAGGTACATAGGTTCGTGTAGCTGGTGGTCTGTCTTGATGATTAATAAAAGTGCTATATTTCCCATCACAGACAGTAGGTAGACCAGGCAGAAAGGGATGGAAATCCATATATGGGCTGCCTCCAATCCTGGAATGCCAATCAGTAGGAAGAAAGTAGGTTGAAGATTAGTTCTGTTGTAAGTTAACATTATGTGAGATGTGAGCAGTGGTTATTCCATCATCCTGTCCAAATTAAAACACACATATAATAATACATAGCTGACACATAATGTAACAATATAATTCACTTCAATAAATAATTAAAAGCAAAAGATTGTAAAATACAAATACCAATTTTTTCATTATTGTAAGCTGGGAGAAATGTTAATTTCAAATCATATATAATTTTACAATTGCATCAAATATATGAGAGTGGACATTATTTTGGTAAGAACACTTAGAAAATATTTTATATTTATCTATCATCTATCTTTAGCATCTCCATACTTACCTATCCATTCATCTAGTTCTTATCTTGAGTTTATTTTTGCAGGAAGTATTTCAGTTTACTAGATACATTTTAGCATATTATATATCCTCTACAGTATTAGTATAGAGGATAAAGTAATAGTTCACATATTGTTGTGTATGCAGATATATTTTTCTACCAGCTGAGAGTAAAAATAGTGACAATGTTGGATGAACACAACCATTTGTATATTTAACTCTTCTTCTCCTCTTCCCATGACAGGACTTATAAGAAAAGTGATTTGGAAAATGCTAAAGAACTTTTGGGCAAATTAGTTAAAGAAGCATTATAATGAGGTCAGAACAAACTGATCTTAGAAGAAAGGTGAGTCATTGAATTAATAAAAGAAGGACTTTGTGTTTATAAAAGCAGGTAAACTTTATGGCAATAAATCATTTTGTAAAGGACTACCAAACAGATAAAATGACTAAGTCTGGAAAACATGGATGTTCAGGTCACTAAATATCTGTGCTCTTTTGTAACTAGCCAATATGACTCCTCCAGAAGGTGGATAGTATATTCTTCAATCACACAATACACTTGACACTGATACAGCAAACTTTTAAATTCAACATTGGCATCCAGGTATCAGCTTACCAGAAAGTGTGCCTTGGTATGTGTACACAATTATTTTGGGTTGGTAGTCTAACAACACTAAATTTTAAATTAATAAATCATTATTTTAGTTCAAATATAGTATAGATAATAATATATAATATGAAACATCCTTTTAGTCTGGATAGAACTAAACATAATAATAAAAAATAGCTTTGACCAGTATAGTTCAGGACTCAATAACAGGGCTAGGTTATTAAATGTTCTGAATAATGTATACATCACAGATTTAATACTGAGTTAATCACCTTCTTATATATTACTTTTTTCAAGACAAGAAGTCGAATCATCTTTCAAATAACCATAACCACTGGGTCTTCACTACTTCAGAGTAGAACCTCCAAGCTAATCTTTACCAGTCCCTTCTCAGGGAACTATTGAATTCCCCCTTCCCACATCAATCATAACCCTCCTGCTTATATCTAGGTTATCCTACCTCAATGATGAGTTGGTCTAATTGTTTACCCTGAAACTCAGCTTAATATTGGCTATCGCTATATCAGGTATTATTAGACTTTTTATCCTGGGGGACCAGAAGCCTGCAAGGAATATCCTGTATATGGCCTCTCATGAGAATGCTGTTTGTTAACAATTTCACTAATGTCTTCCAGTCTCTCCAGACATATTTGGATTCTTGGAGGGAATCAACCTTGTGGCATACAACCACCTGAGCTCTGAGCTTAATAAACAATCTCCAGGCTCCAAGCTTCTTAAAATATTTGATTTGTTTTATCTCTTGAGCTTAAGCATGTGTAGTTACTATCAATTTATGCTTTCTTATAACACATGCGATGAGAACAAGGAGTAGACCATGTTATGTAACCATATTCATAAATTAATCAGGGTGACATTAATATTCCAACATGCCTCCAAAGTGTTCTTAAGTAAAATACCTACACACAATTCATTCTGATAAAAAATGAAAGCTCCTGAACATTACTCCCTGAACTTGTTTAAGTATCATTTCTTGTGCAAGAATATCACTCTTTGTGTTTTAGTTGAAATGTCATATAAAGTTTGGATGTGTTTCCTTACAGATATGTCCATCCTCACTCTCCTTTCTTGCCATATATTTCAGGAGAGACAGACTTGACAGGCTGTTTTCTCGGGATGATACATTACCTGAATTTATGCTGGGTTTGTTTGGTAGGATTACTGGCAGGAATATATTAGAGAGTGGAAAAGGAGACAGAATATTTCTGTTTCTTGCTCTTTTCAACTACATTTACTGCATAGATCCAGATTGTGCCAGAATTGACTTCCATGGTCTCCACTTCCTCTTACAGATCCATCTTCCTGAGATAAGATTAACTACTGGTGCCTTTCTGTGTTTTGCAGACTTATAGTTGGTGTAATTTTCTGCATTTTATCATTTCTGGGAGTTTTCACTATCAAACATTTGTCTTCTTAGAAGCTGTATAATTTGTGTAAATGAATAGTAATGATTTTCTGTACTAAGTGTTTCCTTTTTCCCTGTTAGATTCTGACTATTATAGATGCCTGCCACCCTAATATAAGGACTAGTGACTTTGGTAATTGGTTGATTTGAAAAAAACAACAGATTGATAATTGTCCTCTTTCTTTTTCAGTTAGAAAAGGGACAATAAGAAGCTACCAGCAAATTCAATATATAAAGGCAATATGTGAAATACCCACAGCTAATGTGTACTTGATGAAATGGGCAATGTCATATAAATATCTGACTATAGAAGGAAAGTTTTATAATCAGAGGTAGGGTAAGAATACTCAGTTTCATCACTTATATTAAACCTAGTAGTAGAAGCCTGAGCTAGTACTATAAGCAATTAGACAAGCCAAAAAAATAACAGGTGTCCAAATTGGGAAAGAGCATGTAAAATCACTTGTTTACAGCTGGCTTAGTTTTATATATTTATTTTTTAAGGATTTATTTATTTATGAATACAAGAATTGGGGTATAGGCCAGAGGAATAGGTGTGGGGGCTTGGAGAATTCATTAGAGACAGAGTGGGAAACAGAACAAGTAGATCCACAGAAATACACTGGTGAGAGGAGTAGTGTGTGAGGCAGGAAAGGTCTGCCTTGCTATGTGGATCAGCTTCTTGGCTGGGGTTGAACTCATGCTGCAGTGCCTGTGGATAGCTTCATAGTGCTGTGCTCTAACGCCTTATGCCACCAGAGAGGGCCCAGTTGACATAGTTTTATAAATAAAAAGTATAAAGAGTTGACACACACACACACTCCAGAACCAATAAGCAAGTTCAGCAAAATTACAGAATACAAACCAACACAGAAAAATCAGTTGCATTTCTAGAAGTTAACATTGAGAAAATTTAAAAATTAAATTATTAATTATGAACTGAGTATTGATAAATTGAGAGATATTTCTTTGTGTGTTTGAGTACGAGTGTGATTTATTAGGGTTAATCAATGGGGGAGGTGAAAAACTTAAGAGCATATACTAAAAAAAAAAAAAAAATGTAGTTACCTAGTCAGTAAGACAGAGTCACTGTATGAGATGACCTGGTAATGTGATAATATTTCTATTAAATATGAAAGTGATTTATGACTTCAGTATTAAATTATTGGATATTGGGTTATTTTATAGAATATTCTCCATCTCTATCACAATTTCTCTAGAAAATTGAGCAGTCACAGCACAAAAATTAGAGTTTTGATATTTTTCGTATTATTTCTTTGTTTTTTGGGACATTCATTTCTTGGTATTAATTTTAAGTGTTTGTGTGCAATTAATTTCACTGATTATTCTGAATAGACAGTAATACTTTGATTTGATTTCATTAGAGAGTAGGTAACACAAATCACCTATTCTAGAAAAATCACATTCACATTAACAATTGTTTCAAATTGTCAGGTATATGCCATGCATCATTTAGTTCTCTAGAGAAATATTTTGTCTATACTGGTAAATTAACCTTTCACATATATCTTCACTCTCAATTTGTCACTGTCCTCCAAAAACAGGTAGGTAGAGGAGATTAGCGATCTAATTTTTAATAAATAAAAAGCCAAAATAATATGTTGAATTAGGATTTTTGTAACTCACAGGCATACGATAAATAAATGAACTTTCAGGTGGTTATTGTGATTCCACTTAAGGTAGTTAAATCAATTATTTTCCTTAAATTATCTCTGCTATTTCCACTTATTCTTGAATGATTTATTTTAGTGATTCAACTTAAATAAAGCCACTTTGACCATTAGTGTTCTAAGAACATATTCCCGTATTTTCTTGGTTCTTACTCCATACACAATGGGATTGAGGAAAGGGGGCACCAATAGGTACATATTTGCAATAAAGATGTGGATATGTGCAGGTATATTTTTCCCAAAACGGTGAGTGAAAATGGAAAAGCCAGCTGTGGAGTAGAAGACAAGAATAACACAAACATGAGATCCACATGTGCCTAAAGCCTTAAAACTAGCCTCCCGGGATGGCAGGCGGAATACTGAACGGAGAATGAAGGCATAGGACACAGCAATGAGAATGGCATCACACGAGCCAATGATGGAGGCCATACTGAGACTGTAGCGCTTGGTGGTTCCTATGTCCTTACATGCTAGCTTCACTACAGCCATGAACTCACAGTAGGTGTGGGCAATCATGCGTGATCTGCAATAGGGCTGCTGTTTGAGTAGGATGGGATGTGGAGTAAAGAAGGCCACACCCCGGATCACCACTAAAATACCCATTATGCAGATGCGAGTGTTATTGAGAATGACGGTGTGGCGCAGTGGGTAGCAAATGGCCACATAACGGTCAATGGCCATGGCCAGGAAAAAACCTGATTCCAAAGCAGTGAAGCTGTGAATGAAGAACATCTGGGTCAGGCAGGCATCAAAGGTGATGTTGCGTGCTCCAAACCAGAAGAGACAGAGCATGCGGGGCAGCGTGGATGTAGAGAGGACCAGGTCCGTGAGGGACAGCATGCACAGAAACAGGAACATAGGCTTGTGGAGGCTGCGCTCTGCTCTCACCACTGCTAGGATAGTCACGTTTCCAACAACAGCCACCACATACATGGAGCAGAAGGGAATCCCAATCCAGACATGCAGGTGCTCCAGTCCTGGGATTCCCACCAACAGGAAGGTAACAGGAGAGGGATGAGAAGTATTGAGAGGATGCATGATGGTTTATTTTTTGCTTTGTATTGGTACATCTGAAGTTGCTATGCCAGGATTACAACCAGATTCTGAAAAATATGGAAATTTTGATCAGGAGGATTGTTAATGATGCATTATTAAGAAATGACTGAAATTCATAATCTGGGAATTTTAATTCACTGAAATCAGACTCATAACTTTAGTAATGATGTACAAGTTATTTCAGGAAACTTTGTAAATTATTTTGTCCCTTAATCCCAGTAACAGATTCCTATGTATTCACACTTGTCACTTGTCCTTTATTCAATAAGTATTTTCTGAATAGTTATGAAGCTTCTCCTTTGGGTTCTCATTCAGCATTTCTCTGGTGTCAGTAAGTTTTCCATAAGTGAAAGTGATCAAGCTGAACAAAGGCTTGTGAAAATACCACTGCTTATTGAAAGGATCATTACCTTAGGTAGAAGATTCTCTAACCCATGTTGCCAGTCACTAGGGAAATAGAAATAAATGTTCTCTGTCCACCCCTGTCTGCCTGATATTGAAGTTTTTGGTACAGCTTTTGAAGTAGGGTTATTGTCAGCATTTTATTTGCCACTCTGTATATGTGACTGATCTGAGATAGTATTGTAATATTGCTTTTTTACTATTATTTATGTTTTTATTTCCAAACATTTTAAATAGCATACATTATGTTCTTGTGAAGCATGAAATACATATCAATGCTAATGTATTTCTTAACATTAACCACACTCATGATCTTCATCTCTGTTCACATTGACATCATTTCACTTAACATGTATCCTCATTGTGCTCCTTTGGTTATCTAGACCCAGATTGTAAAACATGAGAAGCAGTTTATTTATTGGATGGCAAGTAGGCATAATGTCAGAATGTCAGTTACTGAATAAAACATATGTCATATTACTACCTATAGTTTAATGAACAGTCAAATCTCCATGGCAGAGAAGACTTGGGATGAAATAGTTGAGCATGAGATAGAGTTTGGAAGGTTTAAAGAAGAAAAGAACCCTTAAATCACTTAAAAATTTTCAACGAAACCAAACCTTTGTTTTCTACTTTTCCTGTTCTCCTCAAAAGTAGTAGTTGGCATTTGTGTATTGGTGCCATCAGTTCTTAAGGAAAATGTGTCTTTCTTTTGTCTCATATTCTTATAATTGGGGTCTTGTTGCAATGGGTTAAAGAGCAGCACTATTAAACTAGCCCACAGCTGCTTCAGCATGAATTTGATGAGCTTGATCCCTGGTAAGGAGGTGACCCACATGGCTGACATACCTCTCGTGACCTGCCCACTGCTCCTCTCAGCAATGTGCTTTGTCAGTCTGCCTGTTCTGCTCTCTACTCTGCTGTCTCCGGTGAATCCTATCATGGCCCCTGAACCACAAGCCTGTACCCCAGTTTTGTGTGCATAAACAAATAAATATTTTAAAAAAATCCAAGTTCTTATAAATGTCATAAGTACTAATAAGAACTTACACAGAATTACTTTTATTTCTGCTTTCCAGAATCATGCTAATACATCTTCCATTCTTTATATATTTTTAGTTGAGGAAATATTTCCTAGGTGTTTATAAGGCCCTGGTAATAATAATAATAATAATAATAACAATAATAAAACTGGAAGATACATAGATAATTTTTTCATAATTTGAATTTAAAACATAATTATATTTTAATTTAAAAATGTAATTTAAATTGTGGAAAAATTTTGCCCAATGAAAGAAAAGATGAGTTATACAGAAATGACAGCAAGGGATCAAATTAAGTTTAGTGAATCAAGGAAAGCTTTCTTGAGCAAAAGGCACTAACAGTGAAATGTAAATATGTGACTCTGATTCATGGACTTAAGTATTGACAGATGGATAAATGATATAGCTTAATGATAAGTGACAGGTAGGTAGATACTGATAGATTAATACGTCTCTCTGCAAACACACACACACACACACAGATAAATGAGAGGAGCAGAAACTAAGTTCCACCAGGAGGGACAATCATTATTTAACAAATTAAAATCTAGTGTCCTTGGGACCTCAAGAATACAGAGTGACTAAAGTGAGATGAGATTCTCTGGGCAAACACTGGTCCCCACACATTCATGTATAATAAAATATAAATAAAAGGAAGTCTTTTACACTCACCTCTCTTAGATCCTCTAGAGCAGTGCAGTGGCTACCATCAATTGGTCCTTATATGTTAGAGGCATAAGTGTAATACAGAGCATTGCAAGAGCAGATTTGGAAAGTACACATACCTCCCCACCTATACACATGTTTCTAAACACTTTTGTGCACAAACACATACAACGTAATCTCTGTGATATCATCTTTCTGAAGATAGCCAACCTGTAGTTCGCAATGATCACGAGGTATCGATATTTTTCTTCTGTCAATAAATCACACAGTATAAAATGTAGTCAAAATAAGAGATAATCCTCACTTCTATGATAAACTTAAAAAAGATCTTTGTTTCCTAGATTGAACTTTTTCTTCATTTCCTCCTTAGAGAATGAGAGGTGTGTATTCAAATGATTCTATCTCCTCCCTTTAGTCCAGGTCATTTGGAAAGAGATGGTACTTAAGGGAGTCCAATGTCTTTTAAAATTTTCTTTGCATTGCTCATATCATTTTTCTCTGTCCTTTGATTTAATAACTACCTAAGTTAGTTCAGTCAGAGACAAGAAACAACCTAAATGTGTAGCTTCTATATGAAGCAGTTTCAACGTAGTAATCTCAGAGGATAAATAGGAATAACATCATGTACAAGCAAGTCCTTGTGGGCCTAGGATCATTGGGAGAAGAGGTTGGGGAGGGGGGGTTCTTTGTGTTGTTGGTAAAGATTAATAATCTTCCTAATTTCAGGGATAGTAATTTTCTGTGTATTCCCTAAGGTTTGTAGCTACAGATGTAGCAATCTCCTCAGTATGCTGATATAATCCACCAACCACATAATGCCATTGGTTCTGTTGGGAGTTGAAATGACACAGGATACATTCCTTATTACTTTAATAAATCAACTTCATTCCTATATCACCTTGTGGCATAAACCTTTCAGTTCAGAAAGCAGTAGGATAATATATTCAAAATATTGTGGAAAAAAATCAAGAATTCCTTGTCTGACAAAACTGCCCCTCCAAAAATTAGGGAAAATGAGATATTCTAATGTAAACAAAATTTAAAGGAGTTGTTATCCCAACACTTGCCCTTTAGCATTATTCATTACTTAAAGCACAAAATACAAGCTACTTCAAATGTTTTATAGACTTTATACTCAGGCGTCTACTTAATTTAATCTTTCATCATTAATCTTAAACTTTTTTGTTTAGTAACCTTGACATTATTTTCCAGTTGTTCTACAACCAGTTGGTTATATGGCCAGTTGCTTTATCTGAAGCATATATTATCTTCTCATTCTCCACCTGGTTGGCTCCTTCTGATTCAATCTCCAAGTATTCATATAGAAGCCATCTTTTTGGAATCTGTCCCCAATACTTAATTTACCATGTCACCTTCAAATACTTCCAACAGAATTTTTGTTAAAAAAATGGTTAGGTTGTAATATTTTCCTATATAATCACCAATAAAGTTTAGTACTCTATCACTGTGTATAAAATTACACATGCTTAATATAATCAATACATTAAAACTACTTAAAGAAGTAATAATAAACACATCAAATACAAAATACCAAAAAAGGAATGCAACTAGTGACCGTACTGTAGATCTGTGAGCTGGCCCAGTTTGCAGGAGACCTGAGTTGACCTATTCAGACAAGGACACAGGTACTCCAAGACAGCTCATTCATGACTGCTCGTGAAGAATCAGTGTGTTACCCAAGACTCACGGCGACTGAAGCCTCAGTGTCCTGCTGGTACCAAGACAGCTTGGCTAGATCCTGAGCCTGGTCATTTCAACTTCTGTCTGATAGTGGGCCAAATGAGGGGCACCCTATGTCTGAACCTGCTTACTCTAAGTAGGTTCTTCCCTCTGATGCTTAAAGATAAAGTATGCTCTTAGGGCATAATGTATTCAGTAGGAAAGAACTTTAATATAATTAGTGAGCAATAGAGAGAAAAGAAAGAATATATTTAAAATAGTTTCCAGTTAAAAACCCAAAGTTTGGCCCTCCCTGGTGGCACAGAAGGTTAAAGCACAGCACTGAAAAGCTAAAGCCACTTCAGCATGAATTCAAGGGTGTGTCACAAAAGCCACGGCCCCACTCTTTCCTATTCCAGTAACTGTGAAACAGCTATGCCCATTCCAGAATAAAGTGACCCAAACACTATCAGTTTAGACACTTACTGCATACTGGACACCAAGACTTGTAAAACTTCTGTTCTATTTAACCAACAGGAGGACACTGGTCCTGTTAAACAGAACTGGTCAGAACTCATTCAGAAACCCATCTACGAGCACCTGCCCCTCAAACTAAGCAAGTATTTCTATCAGCAGCTAAGATCCACTTGATTCTCCTAAGAGCCTGTCTGCCCTCACTCTTAAGTGTGGACTGTCACCTATAATATAACTTCATTTCTATTCACATATACTGACTTCCTCATGAAAATTTGCTTGCACAGAAGTCAAGAAACTTTAGGGACCCTTGGTACCCGTGGGTCCCATCAGCTCCCTTCAGGAGTCAGGAGGAGTGACTGAGTAGGGCAGGTCCCTGTGGCAGGGTGGAAGGGAGGCAGCTTTATGGTTTGTGTTGGGTTGGACTATGCCCTGGCACGGGAATGATGACTACATTCCACCTGCACATGCGGGTTCTCTGTCTTTCCCCCTGCAAGAAACTGGAGGGCAATTATTAAGATTTAATAATTTTGAAAATTCTTTTATTATTGAGGTAATGTTGGTTTATAACACGGGTTATGTTTTAGAGGTATAGGATTTCTCTTTAGGTACTGTAACCAGATTGTTACAGGACAACTCCAAAGGGAAATAGATGGCCTGGGTTGGAGTCCCTACTCATGTGCTTAAACAATCAAAACAACTCAGAACAAGATCCAA